TTGAACAGCAATCAGAATTGATGACTCCATAAGTGAGGATCAGAAATCAAAATTTAGTAGTTTTTTTTGGAGAATTGACTTTACTATGTTAAAGTTTTACTTTTGGTATAATATGATAAAAGCTGCTTTACTTGAATATATATTGTTAATTATATTTCTAAGTGTATACCGATGTCACTACTGCTTGAGATCAGTCTGCTTGAAGTTATCGAACTTGGGACCTCTAGTTCAAATTCAATAGCTCTATCTACTAACCCATGGGCAAGCCCTATATTATGCAATTATAGATGTTATCAAACAAAAATATGTAAAAATCTATTTTTGTTCATGTGTTTTTCAGAATCGCCTTAATTTTGAAAATCGGAAAGCCATTGGATCGAGTTGAACAAAAGCCTATTACATTTCACGAAATTGTAAGTAGTATTGTGAGTTTTAAATAATTCTTATTGTGTATTAGAACGAAATTACATTATAAACTTTACCCACGGATATTCTGTTCAACAGATATAAAATATAAACTAGAAAAAATATAAATTTTAAAATATACCGTATTTTTATGTTTGTGGTTTGTGGTTTGGTTAACAATTTACACAAAAAATACACATTTTAATAATAAAGAATTAATTAAAAGTTATAATAATTCCCTAAAAAAAGAAGAATTACATAGACAATATTTATGTTTCATTTAATTCTCTTTCATTGGTAGCTATGATTCGATCAGGCTATAGTTTGGCAAAATTGCAATATAAAAAACGAGCAAAAATATTTTATATATTAGATAGATATTTACAAATAAATTTAGTACTTCTTATTTAAATCCAAATATTATTCTGAATTCATAGTGATCAATTTTTCGCAAGTAATATTTGAACCGCATTTAACTCTATAGCTTTCTCTAATAATTTTGGATATAACTTTCTCTAATAATTTTGAATGCAAGTACATTATACTATCGTCATTTTATCTCAGTAAACTTAGTCTCATTTTCCAAGATTTTTCCATTCTGAGATTATCTTATGTTGAATTTTCTATGATATTGACTCATTTATCTATACAAGTAGCTATACACTTATTACTCTTCCATAAATCAAAGTATACCTACGTGCAATATCGCGCTTATGGCGCTTTAGTTATATAGCAAATTACTTGGCGTTAATAAAAAAATATCATCTCAGGGCCATTACGTAACAATTTCCTTTTTATAGTGTTCCAGGCGCACGTTTTTCTAGAGTTTGAATTTTTTTAAAATTCCACGTTCCAGCTCAGTACAGCACTCTTAATGTAGAGAAATTGAATTATTTTTTAATCATATTTTTTATGGTCTCTTGCGGACGCTTCTACGGCATATTGTAGAACCATGTGCTGACGTGTCGTGGTCTAAATGTATACAAAAAATATAATACGACTTCATAGTGAACTTCAAAACGTATATTATATATAATTAGAACATGCATGCTTGTACATTAGATTTTATCTAATTATTTTAATGTAAGATTATTAAAGGTGGATAGCTAGCTTGCTCTTGCAAAATGTTCAAGAGTAATATATTTGGGTGCAATTTATTACAAAGTACTAATAAATATAATTTGTATTGGTTTTGGTTATTTTGTTGAACTATATTTTGAACAATGGGAATTGTTTGAACAATGGTACATATATAAGTTTCAGTTATTTCTAAACAATTATTTTTTATATTGACGGTACCATACAGAGTATGTATTGTACAATTGATTCTCAGATAATTTGCTCCGCAGTGAAGATATTTTACTCACATATTATTAAAGGCTAATTTTTTATATTAAAATTATTAATATATTGAAATATTTAAGGTACACGTGTAATAAAATGTTACACTAATCTATTCTAATTTGTGTCAACTCACATGCTTCTAACCGTTATTATTATTTAATTATTTGGGCATTTGAAATGAAAGATTTGTAAAATTAATGAACTATCTTGATCGACTTGTTGATTTTAATAAAATCAGGAATATATTAGTTATCATGTTGTCAATAGCTATATTCAAATTATTTAAAAATTGAAAATCTATGATAATCATTAGTCATTATTGTTTGAGCAATTAATCCTTTAAAATCTTTGAAAAATTAATAAACTATCTTGGTCAAGCAATTTTTTTTAAATCAAGAATATCAGTTAGAATATCATCAATACCTATATCCGAACTATTTAAAAATTTAAATTTTATGATATTAGTTAATCACCACACGTGAAGTTTTGCAACTACGTCCACTTTAGAAATCCTAATTATACTTTTCGGTGTAAATAAAATTTCAATAATAATATTAATAAAATCAATATTATTCAGAATATGATTCAAATCTAAAAAAATAATGGTAAATACTAGATTTGCAAGCCTTTTTCTTTCAACAATTTTATTTTAATAAAATTTTCTGTTGTAGAGACTGTAAATCTTTTATTCTTCTAAGTGCCTTAGCACATTTAGGATGTTCAGCCTTCTTATATATATATATATATATATATATATGCATAATATTTAATTACATATTATATTCAAATTATGATAGTTCTAACTACAATACTAAGTTTTACTAGCATGTATCAAGCAAGTTTCCTACCACTAAATCTCCAAGTTTGTGACGACAACCCTTGAACTAAATGTGGCAAACCTTACATGCAACTAATGCAGAGATAAAACACCAACAGTGCATTATATATATGTATATATATATATATATATATATATATATATATAAGGTGTTTCTGCGATGTTATGTTGCACCTAAAGTGTTGTACCTAAGTGCAATTAGAGAAATAAAAATAGATTCAACAGTTCAAAATAATATAGAATTATGAAAAATTTAAAAAAATCCAAATTTTTACTAAATTTCTACTATAATTTTTTACTCAGTTTCTACTATAATTTGTTTATAAATTTTATAAATTACATGTGGAAGTTTTATTAATTCACATGAGTTTATGTAAAAACGTGTAGTATTTCCAGTTGGTTAAAAGTGTATATTATTAGTAGCATAGTATAGTATCGTCAATTTTTTTGCGCTAATTATTATTTAAGTAATTTACTATAATAGTTATTAATATTTGCTGTTTGGCTTACCTGAATTATCTTTTTGGTGTTCCAATTTTTTTATAAATATTTTTGTTCCTTTATTAGACCATATTGTACAAACTATCTTATATCTGTAAATACTTGATTAAAACAAGAGAACTGAACTCTGAAGTTTTGAAATTATGGCGATTTATTCGAACTTACACAAAGAAAATTGCTGCTAGACTTAAGCTAAAATAAATCAGCACATAGACTGTGCGTTATTTATTATTCACGCAGAAACTTCTTGATAGATTTTCATATAAGATTGCATACTACTAACAATGAAGGAAACCTATCTATTACTTTCGAAACGTTTACAGTAAGCAAAAATAATTTTACTTTTGATTAGAAATAAATGTCTCAAATGATTTTTTCTAAAAAATAATTAGCATTTTCATAATTTTGTTTTCAAATTCAATTTAAGATTAATCCTGAAAGTCGTATAGGTACTCTACTTATTTTCAAAGAAACGGCATTATTAACCATCATATTTTTTCAGTTTAAAGCAATTATAAAAACATGTAAAGGGAGGAGTTTTAAAAAAGTTCAAACATTTTCAAAAAAAAAAATCAAAAATGTTAGTTTTTTTCACGTAACTAAAAATACATGTGATGTTTGGTGGGGGACGGGGGTAATTTTGAATATCACCATGTATCACCAAGGAGGAGGGGGGTCCAAAAATGCTTAAAAACTCGCTCACGTGATTAATGGATGCCCCCAAACTAATAAGCTAAACCTATATAAATGATTTTCTTACTGTATCTTATTGTGATAACAATGAATAATAATAAGGTTTATATAGGGGATATTGATGTTTTGCATAACATCATAAATAATGTAAAAAAGGTATCTGAAATTATACATTTATTTCTCATTTATTTTTAACCTCACATCAACTGCACAGTGTAGCAATATTAAAAACAATAATACAATATTACTAAAGTTAAAGGTTAACATTGTATCTCGTAAAACTCACACTTATTGTCTAATCATCTTTTTTGCTTTTTATATTTAATTTCATTCAATTTTATTTTGCGCTCTGTATATATTATTACATTAAGCAGATAATGCTGACAAGTATAGGTAAAATAAAGTTAATTACAAATTAGTAGATATCCGCAGTGGCGTATTTAATAAAGCTAATTGAAATATAATAATTAAAAAAGAACTAAAAACAAATAGGGAAAAAACATAAAATATTGCAAAATGGAAGTATTAGTTAATTATACTATATTAGATCTCCAGGTATTTTTGTTTTAAGTCTGGTCGGCTGACCTTCCCGGTATACATGACTTACTAATTGGTTAGGATGGACTTCTATTCTGCTTTTATAATTGTTCGCAACCATGGTTACTTGTTCTTGAATTGTAGGTATGTTTGTGCTTACGAAATTTTTCTATATTTTAACATGTTTCAAAGATTTTCCCTCAAACAAATAAATCTTATCTGACTCTCATAAAATTCAGATTTTTTTCCAATTCCGCCCTCACCGGAACTTTTTCGATATCATTAACCCAATTTTCACATAGACCCCATTACTTCCCTTTAAACTCGTTCCGCACACGTGAAATCTCTTTTACGGCTTGTGGGAATTTATACAATTTGAAATAAAGCCGAACCATGGCTTTTCTAAAGCGCTCTGATCACGTTAGGTAAAGCCAATAATATCGAACGTTATTAAAGTTTAATCGTCTGCGAGATGTGGCTGAACTCATGAAATATCCCATATAAGAATCAATTCTACCACTGCATTTTATAATATTATTGGATTTTATAAGTGAAATATAATAATAATAATATAAAGAAGAAATCTTTAGTTTTGTTCGAGGAAACTGTAAAATTTATAGCAAATATTGATACATATATTTATTGCTTGGTTTAATGCTTGAATACAATAAAATCTGGCACCATCATGATGCCGCTTTACACAGGAGTCATGAACAAAATGGGAAAATTCTGGATAATTTTTTATATCAATGCTAAATCTTGGCTTTCTACAGAATTTTTTTTTCGGACTCTCATTTTCTGCAGAATACATCTAAAGCGGTGACATTCTGTTTTTGTTTTTAATAAATCTTCATAACAATAGAATAGTTATTTGCATCACGATTTCTGCCAGTTGCATTCAGTATTATAATTAAACTGATTATAATTATCTTAAATAATAGTAAATAATATGAGAAATGCTGACAAAATGGTTATATATAGGCAAAATGACATAAACCATGTCATTTTGTCCATATTTCTCTTAAATGAAATAAAAAATATATTTGTCAATTTTCATACGGTATATTTTAGTTAGCTTATGGTCAAGTATTTATT